TTAACAATAATAACTAATAATAAAATAGAACAATTATAACAATATAGACTGTAATAAAAGTTATATGATGGATAGAAGATTCGTTCTTACCGTAGATTTTATTAGGCACAATAAGAGATTAACAATTATAACTAATAATAAAATAGAACAATTATAACAATATAGACTGTAATAAAAGTTATGTGACGGATAGAAGATTCGTTCCTACCGTAGATCTTATTAGGCACAATAAAAGATTAACAATTTATAACTAATAATAAAATAGAACAATTATAACAATATGGACTGTAATAAAAGTTATGTGACGGATAGAAGATTCGTTCCTACCGTAGATCTTATTAGGCACAATAAGAGATTAACAACAATAACTAATAATAAAATAGAACAATTATAACAATATAGACTGTAATAAAAGTTATGTGACGGATAGAAGATTCGTTCCTACCGTAGATCTTATTAGGCACAATAAGAGATTAACAATAATAACTAATAATAAAATAGAATAATTATAACAATATAGACTGTAATAAAAGTTATGTGACGGATAGAAGATTCGTTCCTACTGTAGACCTTATTAAGCACAATAAGAGATTAACAATTATAACTAATAATAAAATAGAACAATTATAACAATATAGACTGTAATAAAAGTTATGTAACGGATAGAAGATTCGTTCCTACCGTAGATCTTATTAGGCACAATAAAGAGATTAACAATTATAATAACTAATAAAAATAGAACAATTATAACAATATAGACTGTAATAAAAAGTTATGTGACGGATAGAAGATTCGTTCCTACCGTAGATCTTATTAGGCACAATAAGAGATTAACAATTATAACTAATAATAAAATAGAACAATTATAACAATATGGACTGTAATAAAAGTTATGTGACGGATAGAAGATTCGTTCCTACCGTAGATCTTATTAGGCACAATAAGAGATTAACAATTATAACTAATAATAAAATAGAACAATTATAACAATATAGACTGTAATAAAAGTTATGTGACGGATAGAAGATTCGTTCCTACCGTAGATTTTATTAGGCACAATAAGAGATTAACAATTATAACTAATAATAAAATAGAACAATTATAACAATATAGACTGTAATAAAAGTTATGTGACGGATGAAGATTCGTTCCTACCGTAGATCTTATTAGGCACAATAAAAGATTAACAATTTATAACTAATAATAAAATAGAACAATTATAACAATATGGACTGTAATAAAAGTTATGTGACTGATAGAAGATTTGTTCTTACCGTAGATTTAATTAGGCACAATAAGAGATTAACAATAATAACTAATAATAAAATAGAACAATTATAACAATATAGACTGTAATAAAAGTTATGTGACGGATAGAAGATTCGTTCCTACCGTAGATTTTATTAGGCACAATAAGAGATTAACAACAATAACTAATAATAAAATAGAACAATTATAACAATATAGACTGTAATAAAAGTTATGTGACGGATAGAAGATTCGTTCCTACCGTAGATCTTATTAGGCACAATAAGAGATTGACAATTTATAACTAATAATAAAATAGAACAATTATAACAATATGGACTGTAATAAAAGTTATGTGACTGATAGAAGATTTGTTCTTACCGTTGATTTTATTAGGCACAATAAGAGATTAACAATAATAAGTAATAATAAATTCTACTATATACTCTCTAAATGATATAAAATCACATTTTATACCTGTCTCCGGAGAAGAAAAAAACTTTGAAGAATTTTTTGTAATGATTTATTCAACAAATTTTGATTTGATCAAGAGTTTATTTTCCAAAGATATACAAGCAAACAATGGGAGTTGGAACAGAATATCCAAAGGGACAACTTCGGCAAGTTTCTCAACTGTTTGTTTTTGTTTTTTTTTAAATACTCCGAAATATATATCGGATATTTTTTCTTAAATAAAGGAGTTATATCTTTTTTAGAAATTTTTCGTTTTGTGTGTGTGTGTGTATATATATATATAATGGGTGTCACCTGCAATTAACCTGGACTTTCTTTCTCTCCTTAAATGAACGTTGCATCTAAGCTCTGCGCATGTCCGGATCCGTTACATAAATGGATGAAAGCCCGTCTTTGTACCCAATTCCCGTATATCCGCAGACACACTCACAGGCATAAACATGGACGCGCATGCGTTTGGAAACAGAAGAGCACGCATGCGTATATCACTTACATATCAATTAAATAATGTAAGTGTATGTATCCGAGTGTTTCTTTTCTCTGAGGTGATCAAAAGGCTTGCCTTCACCGAATACATAATGAAATCAGTGCCCAAATTCATGAAATATACATAAATACATACACACACACACACATATATATATATATATATATTTATATATATATATACATACATACATATATATATATATATATATACATATATATATACATACATATATATATACATATATATATACATATATATATATATATATATATATATATATATATATATATATATATATATATATATGTATATATATATATATATACATATAAGAAAATTTCTCCGATTTAATCGGTAGAAGACGATATTTATGAATAAAATGACAATAGGAAAACTACTAATTGCTGACGCGTTTCGTCCAATGTGGACTTTATCAAAGTAAAAATGTATTTTGCTTTTGATAAAGTCCACATTGACGAAACGCGTCACCAATTACCAGTTTTCTATTGTCATTTTTATTCATAAATATATATACATACACACACACACACACACACACACACACACACACACACACACACACACACATATATATATATATATATATATATATATATATATATATATATAAATATATAAAATACATAAAAGGTTAATGGTCAGAGTGGAATCAGATCAGGAAAAATAAAATAAAATAAAAATGACATGTAGAACTTTTAAATTCTTCTTTCCTTTTTCATATCTCCCTCCTCTCTTTATTATTTTTTTTTAAATTTTATTGTTTATTTATTTTTTTAAAAATAATATAGTGTTCATTAGTTTGTTTAAAAAAAAAAAAGCGTTGGAAGGTCAACTGATAAAAATCGCCTAAAGATACCGTAAGTTTGTAACCAAGGTAGCGGATACAACTGATCTCCTAATTTTTAAAGTATATATATATATATATATATATATATATATATATATAGCATAATGAGAAGCCACGTATACTTTCTTAATATGTATATATAGAAAAAGTTTCAAATTAAAAATTATAATGTTTTATTTTTATGAAAGTATTTATTTATTTTATATATATTTGATATTTCAAATTGTCCTCAATTTTCATCAGAAATAACTGTTTTGTTACAAATAAATTAAAATTACTGTTTGTTAGCAAGTAGCGTCCTTCGCGAGACGCGGACGTCACGTGATATGGAACGTCACTGTTCGGATATTTCTAACTTAAATCTAACTGTCATAAATATTTAAAAAAAAATTTTTTTACTATATCTAAAAAAATTGCTTAACTATTGAAATATTTATAAAGATTTAAAACCACTAAGTCTCTATTCAACCCTAGTTTATGTGTATTTAATTTTAAAATCCAATATGTTTCTTTTTTTCTGCGTGTGAATGTGGAAGTAAAATCGGAATCTATTAATAAACATTTGCAGTTTTCTAATGTGTGTCCTGATTGATTGTAGTGTTTAGCCATGGGGGAATAAGGGTTGTTTTGACGTATTGTTTGTTTATGGTTATTAAAACGAAATCTAAAATTGTTTCCGGACTCACCAATATATCCACTATTAGGACATAAGTTGCAGAATAAATAATAGATTACGTTATGGCTATCGCAGGTGAGGTTAGTATTATAATAATAATAATAATATAAATATAAGTAATTATACTCGTCTGGAAAAACCTTAGGTATTTTGGCTTGTAAATGAACAAACCAATATCCAAGGAAAAATAGGGGTCAAAAAAGAAAGAACTAAGAACATTTAATTAAGGCGAAAACAATCGTCCGGAATCCAAGTTCAGAGTCCAAAACGAGAAAAGCAAAAGTAACTAAGTAAAGTGCTCAATACACTAAGTAGAACAAATCTACCTATGATCTGGCCAGCGTACCCTGACGATCCGCGTAGGTGAAACCTAGGTAGGTTTGCCTGGCTCTTTAGGTTCATAGTTATATATATATATATATATGTGTTTGTGTGTGTAAAATTAATACAAATAAATATGATTTGTCTCTTAGTTGATGGATATTATATTCAGCCTCATCTGCATCTCGAGATTTGTAAATTAAATTGTTGGTAACTGTTCTATCCACTCTTTAGTACGTTTCAGCAATTAACTGGTGTTTTTATCATTATATATATATATATATATATATATATATATATATATATATATATATATATATATATAAACTGTGTGTGCTTATAAAAGATAAAGTGTAGTAACGCGTGGTCTGATGATCGCTTTAGGCGTGAAACTGTCAGTCACCTCCCAGTATTTTTTTTATGTTCACACTGTTTATCTCTTCAAACGTTCTATCTCCGAAATTAAACACTCAATACTCTTACCACATAAATATATTAACCATTAAACAATATATATATATGTGTGTGTGTGTATGTAAAACTTAACACATCATCGAAAACTCGATTATAAATTATAAAATTATTTCGACAAGTTTTTATTACTTGCTTCATCAGACCGAAATTACAAATGGTTTACATTTACAAAATGTTTAAATTTATCCAGAAAATATTTTTAGAACATGAGATAACAAGAGGTCTAGACACTTGACCTAGAAAATCTATATTCTTGAAAATATGGGTGGGGAGGAGAGACAGCTGTCAGACCCATGTACATGTGTGGTGTTTGGGAGAATATGAGTAACAGCTGGAGAAGTACATTAGAATAAAATTCACATCATCCTCATATATATATATATATATATATATATATATGGTGTTTTGGGTGTTACTGTTAATAGGATGTAGAATAGTTTCCGAGCAAAATGACGAAGGGGAAAAGCTGTTCAGACAACGCATTTTGGTACTTTATGGATGGAATGGTAGACAAAACCATTTTTAAGGAAGTACGTTGGAATTTTTAGAATATGTTTTATGACGAGAAGATCTTTCATCATATTGAAGTCATAAACGTTAGCTGGATTTGAAATCACCCCATTCTGAGTAGATATCTATTTCCCTTTCTCTACCTCTCTCTCTCTCTCTCTCTCTCTCTCTCTCTCTGTCTGTGTTTCTTTCTCTGTTCCTCCCCCTGGTTCCCTCTCCGTTTCTCTTTCTCTCTGTATTTCTCCCTCTGTTTTACCCTCTCTCTGATTCTCCCTCTGTTTCTATCTCCCTCTCTCTGATTCTCCTTCTCTATCTCTCTCCGTTTCTCCCTCTGTTTCTCTTTTTTTCTCTCCCTTTCTGGTTCTCAATTTGTCTCCCTCTCTCACTGTTCTTCCCTCTGATTCTCTTTTTTTTCTCTGATTCTCCCTCTGTTTCTATTTCTCTCCGTTTCTCCATCTTTTTCTTTTTCTTTCTCTCTCTCTCTCTCTTTCTGTTTGTCTCTGTTCTTCCCTCTATTTCTCTCTTTGTCCAGCTGTTTCTCTGTCTTTCTGCTTCTTCCTCTGTTTCTCCCTCTTTTTCTCTCTCTTTCTGTTCCTCCCTCGATTTCCCTCACTCTCTTTCCCGCTCTTTCTCTCGCTCTGTTTCTCACTCCCTCGCTTTCTGTTACTCCATCTATTTCTCTCTCTCTGTTTCTGCCTCTGTTTCTCTCTTTCTCTTCCTCTGTTTCTCTCTCTCGCTCCCTTTGTTTTTCTCCCTCTGTGTTTCTACTTCCGTCTCTCTCTCTCTCTCTCTCTCTCTCTCTCTCTCTCTCTTCAAAAAAAAAATCAGCATCCTCTACCATCTATTCCAAGAAACAGGACTAGAAACTTTCCAAATGATCACCGAAACGACGTCGATCTTGGTCAGTACCTTGATAGGTGACCGCTTGAGAATACCCGATGCCGTAAGCTTGGGTGTGCGGTTGGTGTAATGGCTCAGGATTGTTAATCAGAGAGCCGAGCTCCAATTCCCGTTAAATTCGTTATATTTAATTGCGCGCAAATACCGCTGGAAGAGGTATGAATCCACCTCTTGTCCCTCAGCTATGGGTTAATTGGTGATTAATCCCTAAACTCTTATTATCGCCAAAGAAACATTCATATAATCTAAAAATATTTCCTGTCTTTAAATAATTGGCAAAGGGTTGATAAGCCATAGAAAATGAAACAATCCAGAATTCATGATGTGGAATTAGTAAATACGAAACACTTCAAATACCTCGCTCAGCTATAGCTAATTTAGAATACTTCAAATACCTCGCTCAATTATAGCAAATTTGGCATACTTCAAATACCTCGCTCAATCATAGCAAATTTAGTATACTTCAAATACCTCGCTCAATTATAGCAAATTTGGCATACTTCAAATACCTCGCTCAATCATAGCAAATTTAGTATACTTCAAATACCTCGCTCAATTATAGCAAATTTGGCATACTTCAAATACCTCGCTCAATCATAGCAAATTTAGTATACTTCAAATACCTCGCTCAATTATAGCAAATTTAGTATACTTTAAATACCTCGCTCAGTTATAGCAAATTTAGTATACTTCAAATACCTCGCTCAGTTTTTGCAAATTTAGTATACTTTAAATACTTCGCTCAGTTATAGCAAATTTAGTATACTTCAAATACCTCGCTCAATTATAGCAAATTTAGTATACTTCAGATACCTCGCTCAGTTATAGCAAATTTAGTATAGGTGATCAGGAAATTGAACGTATATTAGGCTGTGTTGGGATAGTTTTTTAACCCTACGCTCCACATTGCTGTAAAATCAAAACATTAACCTAAATCTTTTGTCAGATCGAGTCTTTCATACGGATGTCATGGAGGGCGCCAGATTCGTTCAAGAATATCTAAACTGTCAGCTGTAGACAACCGCTTTCTCAGATCAACATGGGTTTTGTCAAAGACTATCCTTCTTCGAAATTTGGTGCTACAAAATCACAAACAACGATCTGTACCAGATAAGAGAAACGCCATAACTTGACGACTTTCATCAACGCCAACAACTAAAACCACATGAAACTCGAAGAGAAAATAATGACATAAGATATTGATGCTCCACGCTGCTTAAAACAAAAGGTTAGGAGGGAAGCCTCCATGAATAATTGTTTTAAGTCAAAAAATTTATAAATTTCAACCGCCCACAGTAACTGGCTGCTCGATCAATGAATGTCTAATGTTTCCTTATAAGGAAACAGCTAAGATTAGTTCGTATATCGCATTGTGCCCCTATTGCTTTTGCGATTATCGGTGGTATTGTGTAGTGATTTGCCAAGCGTAGCTTAGATATGGCACACGGCCGAGAGTGTGGGGCACCCAGTGAGGATCGAACTCACTACTCAGTCGGAATTCTTCTAACGAGACAAGCTTGCTAACCATTACACCGCCTTAAGGTGCCCAGATTTTCTAAGCGTAGCTCAGATGTGGCACAAGGCCGAGAGTGTGGAACACCCAGTGGGGATCGAATTTACTACTCAGTCGGAATTCTTCTAGCGAGACAATCTTGCTAACCATTACACCGCTTTGAGGTGCTCAGATTTTCTAAGCGTAGCTCAGATGTAGCACACGGCCGAGGGCGTAGAACACCCAGTGAGGATCGAACTCACTACTCAGTCAGAATTCTTCTAGCGAGACAAGCTTGCTAACCACTACACCGCCTTGAAGTGCCCAGATTTTCTAAGCGTGGCACACGGCTGAGAGTGTGGAACACCCAGTGATGATTTAACTCACTACTCAGTCGAAAGCGAGACAAGCTTGTTAACCTTTACACCACGCCGTTGTGCCCGAAATCAGTGGTATTGTGTATGAGACCGGCCTGACCGTAGCGTCTGGCCTCATCATCTGATAAAGTTATTTGTTACCTCTTTTCCAAAATTCCAACACACGGCTTTGTCTGAAAATGCCTTCCATAGAGAGACGAAACGCGTTGTCTGAACAATTTTTCTACTTTTTCACATTATATCTGCAATGTATGACTGAATAACGAACGATTATGAAATATGTTTCCCTGTATATTTAGTTTTATCCGAAAAACTAAGCTATGGGTTAATTAGTGATTAATCCCTAAAAATCTTATTATCGCCAAGAAAACGTTCTTATAATCTAAAAATATTTCCTGTCTTTAAATAATTGGCAAAGGGTTGATAAGCCATAAAAAACGAAACAATCCAGAATTCTTGATGTGGAATTAGTAAATACGAAACACTTCAAATACCTCCCTCAGTTATAGCTAATTTAGAATACTTCAAATACCTCGCTCAATTATAGCAAATTTTGTATACTACCTCGCTCAATTATAGCAAATTTAGTATAGGTGATCAGAAAATTGAACATATATTAGTCTTTGTTGGGATAGTTTTTTAACCCAACGCTCCACATTACTGAATAAGGAACAATTATGAAATATGTTTCCCTGTATATTTAGTTTTATCCGAAAATATGTTTCCCATAATATTTAGTTTTATCCGAAAATATGTTTCCCAGTATATTTAGTTTTATCCGAAAATCTGGGAGAGGAATGACTATGTAATGAGTTTCAAATTCTATGTGCTTGTTTTTTTCTTTTTCTTTTTGTTGTTGTTTTTATAATAGGCGTCATGTGTATATTGGCGTTAGTGTGTTTATGTCTGTGTCAATTTGTTCAATTCTATGTCGTATTTTTTTATTAGTTGTGTAGACAAAAATAAATGCCACAGAGAAATTAAAAACTGAACTATAACTCCAAATCGTTCAACTCCAAAATGTCTAATGAAATTAAATAAATAGCGAAACATGTCAAATTTGTAAAAATTTCCACGTTCAAAAATTCTGTCGGATTTAATCCATATCTTTAAATAAGTATACACACACACACACACACACACACACACATATATATATATAGATATATATATGTATATATATAATATATTATATGTACATATATATATATGTACATATATAACATATTATATATACATATAATATATTATATGTACATATATATAGTATATCTATAATATATCTTCATATATATATATGTATATATATATATATATATATATATATAATATATATATGAAAATATATAATATATATATAATACATAATATATACAATATACATATAATATATACATAATATATATAATGTATATAGATGAATATATATATATGTAATGTATATATATGTATATATATAGATATATATGTATATATATATATTATATGTACATATATATACATGTATATCTATAATATATATATATATATATATGTATATATAATATATAGATATGTACATGTATATATAATATATATATAAAATATATATAATATATATATATATATAATATACATATAATATATATAATATATACATAATGTATATATAATGTACATAAATAAATAAATATATATATATATATATATATATATATATAATTGTGTATTTTGGCAGCAATCCCTCTTTTATACACGTTTAACACGTTGGCTCCCAAGCCTCCTTTCCCTTGTTTTCCCAAGATCCCAATATTATATCCCTATTCATTTTGGTACAGGCGGCTTTGTTTTAACATTGTTTTAACATTGTTTTATATATGAGGCAAGGGTAACATAGGGAGTATTTATTCCCCACAACCCACCGTACCTGAGTCCAATTTCCAGCCCAAAGACCCACACGACCCACCCGTGGGTTATTGGCAAATTCCCAACATACAATTATTAATTGACATAAACTCTCATTCTCTATATTGAAAAATATTTAAATTTGGGGGGAAAAAATTGTGGTTCTGGTGTATAATGATCTCATAAACAATCAATCATAGCATCCTACTCCCAATAATTCTCACACGAAGTTAATTAGAAAACGGTCCACCAGACGGTCGTGTGGGCCTTGCAAACATAGCACCACAATCCTCTGGTGGGTCGTGTGGGAGCCAAAACGACTGACAAGATACTATGATTAAACTTTGTATTTATTTGTGTTCGTATCAGTGTTTCTTTTATGGCATAAAGTGTGTAAAAAATTTTCAAATGTTCTGTGTATCTGAGCGCTTTCGGCTATTCTATTACTCATTATCAAGGATGTCTTTTACTTTTAATCTTAACTGTGTAGATGAATAAGTATATTGGACCTACCACTACATGCCTATCAAGAAGACTCACTTTACACCTCGCTGACCATAGCTCAATTAGGACCCATTTAAAGACACACGGAAACCTACCAAACTCCATCCGCAACACACTTGTAGAAATACGACTATAGTAGCCTCATCCATAAGTAAAAAAAAAAGACTAAAAACAATGGAAGCACTAATAATAAAAAAAAGAAAAAGCCAACGCTCAGCAACATCAAATATGAACACGGCCACAACGTACTGACCGTGTTTGGAAAATAAAAAAAAACATTACCATCACTCTAGAAACATATAAATATGTACACATTCAATTAAGAATGAACGATAAAAACATCATTGATACTTAAAGCGCTCAGATACACAGAACATTGGAACAATTTTTACACACTTTATATTCAGAAAAGAATCATTTATACGGACGTAAGAAAAATTAAATAAAAAGCTTAATTGCAGTACCTTGTTAACTGTCTTTAGTGAAACTTGTATATATATATATATATATATATATATATATATATGTATGTATGTGTGTGTGTGTGTGTGTGTTAATAAAAACAAGCGATGTAAATTCAAATAACTAGTGAATGCTAGACCATCTCCTCACAAATGAAGAAGAGACTTGAGGCAACCGAAATGTGGTTCTACAGAAGGATACTGAGAATACCATGGATTGAACTTGTGAGTAACGAGGAAGTTTTAAGGGAAATGAAAACAAAAACGGCCTTTATTCTTAACATCAGGAAGAGAAAGTTGAATTTTGGGGGACACATAATTAGGAAAGAGGGCCTGGAGAATTTGACACTCAAAGGACATATTGAAAGCATGTATGAGTGAGGAAAACATCTAGTAATCTATGTAACAGGGTTGTGTAAATGGATGGTAGATTAGGAGTGGGAGAGAAGGTGAAAAGAAAAACTTTACTAACTACAAAAGATAGGAAGTTGTGGTGAGCCATGAACGCTTACACCCTGAAGGGACACAGCATAGAGAAGAAGAGAAACCTCTTAAAAATAATGATTTGTTTTATTTAACAAATAGTAAGTTTCGCTTTGTACAGCATAAGGCAAAAATAAGAGAATGGAAGGTTGTGTTGCAAAAATCTTCAAAGAGGGAATGGTCTACGTGAAGATATAAAATCAAAATCCTGGCATAGGCGGAAAATAAACAACTACCTCAACCACCGTAGCAGGCCTACATTCGCGGTATGTATTGAGGCTTGTTTAGTCCGACGCCAGGCCAAAGGATAATAAATGGAAGATGGTGATGCGCCAATCTTTTAAACGAGGAAGGCCTGTCTGTACTGAAAATAAACATTCATAATACTGACGTTTTATCTCGACTCAAACGCCTAAATCTGTCACCAGAATATCATATCTGGCCGGCAATATGCTGTATCTACTTATATTTGTATCTTGGTTAGCCTATGGACTTTTCAGCTGACCCTCGTACACCAGAACACCAGTCTAACACGTCTGTGATAAGAGACACCACCTGCAAATCAACTCCAGTCTCGGAGAAAGAAAGAAAAATCTGAATTCCAAACCTAAAGAAGGTAGCAGAAAAACAGTCCACTATTATTCTCATGTGACCATGGTAATTCTTAGATTATAAAGAAAAGAGTGGAGAGCCACGGTCGCCTACGTCATGAAGGGACAATGCATAAAATATGATAGTTGGCACCCAGCTGATATATCATTGAACAAGGTTTCCCAAACAGGGCGATATCGCCTACCAGTGGACGATTTCAACTGTTAGGTGGGCAATGAGCAACCATGAGAAAATGGTGGTCGGAAATTTTGGTGGGTGATATAGGATTTGGGGTATTAAAAAGCTATTTCAACATATGCTACCCGAAAAAATATTGAAAGGATATATGAAAGGAACCTGTATAAAAAAAACAAAAAAAAAAAAAACAGAAGGTTAAATGGGAATAACTGGACCATATTCTTCGATAAGATATAAATATCCTCACAAACAAGGAATATTTTAGTATTTTCTATATAGTTTTAAATGATCAAGTTTGCTATCGTCTATTCTTTAATACGGTAGTATTCGTCAGCATTATTTGTTACCTCCCTTTGGTATTTTTTTTTTATAAAGTCAGTTTACGAACCAGTAACAAAATTTTACAATTTTGGTAGGTTTTTGGATATTTACTATACAGGTGGGCGGTGGAAAAAATATCTATGTGAAAGTGGGCGATGACACAAAAAAAGGTTGGGACCCTCTGCCCTGGGAGGGTTCAACTGTAAGATGGGGGGGGCTCCAGAATGACTGTAGGAGGATCAGTTGCAGTGAATATCTGGACCAAGCAACGATGTAAATGATACATTTCTCGTGGCTCACATGTGTACGCTCAGCATGTTTGAATTCAGAGTTTTCCTTCTCCTAGATTGGTTGCCAACAAAAGCTAAAGCGCCCAGACTAATTAACCCATAGTAAGGGTCAACAAAGAAGAGTCGAATTAATAGTTTTCCCAAAATTTTTTACTACGAAAAGTGAACCCAGCATTAACAGTCGGGTTTTGTATTTTACCCTCTGATTCCACTTTCGACGCCGTCCTGGGTATGACGATAAACTAAATCCGCGTCCAGGGTAAGACGATAAACTACGTCCAACAGCAAGGCCTCTGAGCAGGAGGCTTTGAGGAGCGTGGAACCACCACTTAATTGCTGGTGTTCACAGGTCCACCCTAACCCGGGGTGGTAGCACCTGTTAGGGTTCCAGCTATGGATAAATATTTAACACAGATTATATCTGCGTCCAGGGTAAGACGATAAACTACGTCCGACAGCAAGGCCTCTGATCGGGAGGCTTTGAGGAGCATGGAACCACCTCTTAATTGCTGGTGTTCCCAGGTCCACCCTGACCCGGGGTGGTAGCACCTGTTAGGGTCCCAGCTATGGGCAAATAGTTAACCCCGAAACTGAGGTAAAAAGCATTATGAAAATGTAAAAATAGGTTATAATACCAGAAATACTTTGTAAAAAAATTATTCCCAGAAATAAATTTTTGAAGAAAAACACTATTACCAGCAATATGTTTTTAAAAATAATATTACCAGCTATACAATTTTGAGGGGAAAAGTATTACCAGAAATAGATTTTTGACAAAACAAAAATATTACCAGGAAAAAAAAGTTGTCGGTATTAAATGACCCATTGAGGTGTTGATATGCCGTAAAACAAAACAAACCAAATCAAACCATCCACTTTCGGCGCTGATAACCGATTCGCCTCCTGCACACCTAATGCCGAAGGACGTAAGTAAAACACACTATTAATAAAAACCTATTATATTTATTTTTTCATGTAATAGGCTTAGAGACCCATCACGTTGAAACACCGAAGTTAAGCAATGTCGAGCCTGCTCAGTACATAGACGGGTGACCACTTGAAATATACCTGGTGCTTAGGTGTGCGGGTGATAATGGATAGACTCGAAATTGTTAATCGGAGAGCCGAGTTCAAATTCCCGTTGGGTTCGCTGGATTCACTTACGCACAAATACCGTTGGAAAAGGCATGAATCCACCACTTCTCCCCCAGCTGTGGGTTAATTAGTAAGATTTGTATCACTAAGCCATTATTATCTCAAAAAAAATGTCTTATTATCTAAAAATCTCTTCTGGCTTCAAATAATATGCAAAGGGTTGATAAGCCTTAAAAAACGAATCAATCAAATGCTCACTTTATATACAAATTATAATTACTTGTTTGTTTATCAAATTCTGATTAGATATAAATTCATCTCTTATTCCCTCAGCTATGGGTTAATTAGTAAAACTTCTTACAATCTAAAATATTTTCTGATTTTAGATATCCTGCAAAGTGTTGATAAGCCCAAGAAAACGAATCAATCAATCAAATACTGATTAGGTACACAGACATGTCTTTTAGATTTATTTATATTCTCTGGAATATAAATGCATGGAAATCACCGTGGTCACAAAGTAAGGGATCAGTTTATATATTGATTGCAATATAGAATTGATCACTCACTTTATATCCACATTATAATTTCTTGTTTGTTTATCAAATACTCATTAGGTACACAGTCATCTTTTAGATTTATTTATATTCTCTGGAATATAAATGTATAAAAATTACCTTGGTCACAAAGTGAGGGATCAGTTTATATAGTGATTGAAATACAGAATTGATCCCCCACTTTATATCCACATTATAATTTCTTGTTTGTTTATCAAATACTCATTAGGTTCACAGTCATGTCTTTTAGATTTATTTATATTCTCTGGAATATAAATGTATAAAAATTACCTTGGTCACAAAGTGAGGGATCAATTTACATATTGATTGCAATACAGAATTGATCCCCCACTTTATATCCTCATTATAATTTCTTTGTTTGTCAAATTCTGATTAGGTATGAACCTACCTCTCACTCACCAGCTATGGACTAATTAGTAAGACTTGTATCACTAAATCATTATCTCAACAATTTCTTACAATCTAAAAATATTTTCTGGCTTTAAACAACCTGCAAAGGGTTGATAAGCCGTAAAAAAAGAATCAATCAATTCTTTTTAAGATATACTTGTTAAATTTTTTAAATATCTTTAAACAAAAATACAAATGAATCATTAATCAATTCATGATGATTAAATTAAATTCAGTTGATAAATATTCTTTAAAAAGATAATTATAAGCTTGTACCATATTTGACGGCATATAAGACGCACGGTTGTATAAGACGCACCCCAATTTCAGTAGGGCAAATCAAGAAAAAATTAGTAATTAGTAAAATTATTAGTAAATAGTACAGCCTAGGCTATATTTATGAGGTATTATTTTGGTTAAACAAGCCATGATTACAATTAAATTAAAAATAATAGTAAAAAAGAACACGAACCTATAAAAACTTTATTATATCCTACATATGATCTGTAACCTGTGTCTTGTAAACGTCTTATTGGAATAATTAGGATATAAAAATTTTGATTGTATTTACACCAATGCAATGAAGTTATAACATGAAAAATATTAATGAAACAAATATATTTTACGATTATTTGAATTTATTGCATATAATTTTAGTAAAACAAAGTACTAATATTAAACGTGATGAAATTAATATGATGAATATTATCAATGATAACACTTTTAATCTGCATTATAACCTTTTAAATAATGACAATAAGTATATGAAAGTTACTCTAAAGCCTAAGTTAATAGGAGTTGCCAGGTAGCTAATTTCGGTCGACTATTTTTAAACCTACATATGGCATATAAGACCTACATATGGCATATAAGACGCAGGGGAATTCTAAAAGATATTTTTAGTCAAAAAAAAAAGGTGCACCTTATATGCCGTCAAATACGGTAATTAATTTCTCTAGTCTGAGTAGCTCCAGTTTTTAGGGGGTGGGGGTGGAGCCTGGCTTCAAAATTATCAAAACATCGAAAAAATGTATCGGACTTAAATATTGATTGTCTGGTGTTTATTTTATACAATTTAACAAACAAACAAAAAATATACTGCTGTAAATATGAGCAAAAAAAAAAAAAAAGAACAAACAACAAAAAAAAAACACAATCTTGTGCCGACGGATCGTCCTTGCAAAGTGGTGAGTTAAAAATAGACTGGCGCGCTGGAGGGCTGGTGTACATTAAAAGGTAAAGTTTAACTTAGGACCTGGAAAGAAAAAAGAAAGAAAACGGTAAGTCAAAGAGTCTTTTTTTTTTCTATTTTAACACTGTTGTATATTTAAAAAAAAAAAACAAAAAAAAAAACCTCCGACGGTGTATTTTATTGTTGACATTTTTAGAATTTGAATAAAGCCCAAACATATGAAATCGAATATAGACATTTATTTTTCTCGCTCTAAATTTACTGAGTTTCAAACGCACAGAAAAATTCATAATTCACTGTTTCCAAGGATACAGAAAAAATCCATTCATTCAGACAGGGGGTGGTAGCGTGTTCATTATTATTAACTTTTGTTGTATCAGTTATTAGTTACGGAGAATAAATTTAAAAAATAAGTTACTCCAATATTCGCTTGAAGATGAAGTGAAACTAATATTTTTAATTTAATTACAAAATTAAATTTGAAGTTTTTAGCTTCCATTTTTGAAACATGGTCATTACTGTGTAGCGAAAAAAAACATATTTTAAATCAGTTAATTTATAATATTTATGCTCTGTAAATTTACATTGAGCACTGTTTTGTAAAAATAAAAATAAAAAATATCAATAAGAACACCGGATTATATATATTTATATATATATATATATATATATATATAGATAGATAGATATGGATATATTTGTTCAAAAAATATTTTTATGATACTGAAAAACATTTAGTTCTTGATAATGACAAACGGGGTTGAAAGTATTTGAACAAAACACACACACACACACACACACACACACACACACACACACACATATATATATATATATATATATATATATATATATATATATATATATATATAAACCTAGTCCGATGAAGCTTAACTGACGAAACGCCTCACACGAAAAAACCTTTTCCACTTTGTCAGACATCTTTTCTCAAAATACATACATGTATATATATATATATATATATATATATATATATATATATATATATATATATATATATATATGCAGGTATGCAGAAAATAAAAAGAACACGTTGGGTGCATAATCCGGAGTTCCTTAGTATTTTTGTTTTTATTTTAAGAAGACAGTGCTCCATAGCGAAGGAATCATATTTTTAAACAAAAAATATTTTATATATGTATATTTAAAAATCTCAAAATACGTATGTATATATGTATATATATATATATATATATAAAAATATATATATATATATATATATATATATATATATATATATATATATATATATATAAAGGAAATATGTTGTAGTGGTTCCAACTGAGAAAGTTTATTTAAATTAATTCTTACTGCAAACGTTTTTGGTTGAATGTGGATATGAGAAAAAAAATTCTATATCGAGAATATTCCACATTTGAAGAAAATTAATTATTTTTCTAATATGTAAAAATTCCACTTTCACCTGAAGACGGTTGGTGAGACCAGACCAGAAACACGTGTCGTGAAATTATGTAAAACAAAGTATAATATTTTTCTCAATAAATCCACATTACAAAAAAAAAACGTTTGCGGCACCTCTTCTTTTAATATATATATATATATATATATATATAATCTCAAAATACATGCATACATATATATAATACATAATCTCAAAATACATACATACATGTATATATATATACTACATAATCTCAAAATATATACACACATATATATATAATACATAATCTCAATATATATATATATATATATATATATATATATATATATAATACATAATCTGAAAGTACATATATATATATATATATATATAATCTCAAAATACACACACATATATATATAATACATAATCTCAAAATACACATTATATATATATATATATAAATATGTGTATATATATATAATCTCAAAATACATACATATATAATACATAATCTCAAAATATACACACAGACATATATATATATATATATATATATATATATATATATATATATATATATATATATATATATATATATATAACGAGCCAGAATACTATCTACCTAGGTTTCTCCACATGGGATCATCAGGGATCATTTCCCCCTGATGCTCTTATGTCGTGAAACCTAGGCAGGTAGTACCTGACTCATTAGGATTTATTTGTTTTAATTTTGCTCTACTTATTGTATTGAGCACTCTTCGTTTTAACTTATTACTCGCTGAACTTTTCTTTCTTTGAACCAGAAATTTAATGTACTGGACGATTTCTTTCACCCTGTTCGGAGATTTCTGATGCTTTCTTTTTCTTTTCCATTTTTCCTTGGATGCCAAATTATTTGAAAATTGTGCTATCCAGTTTTCTTCACCCACTGAATTTAAATAGATTTACATTATATATATATATATATATATATATATATATATATATATACAAGTATAGTATAAGAATAGAAACGATAGTGCTCGACAGTAATAAGAGCTAATATCCAAGTAGTATAAGAATAGAAGAATATTTATGTTATAATTATGTTATAATATTTATGTTTTAATTATATTATATATATATATATATAATATATATATATATATATATATATATATATATATATATATATATATATATATATTATATATATATTATATATATATATGTTATATATTATATATTTATGTTATAATATTTATGTTATAATTATGTTATAACAGAAGAATATTTGTTATAATTTTTAAATAAATAATTATATATATATATATATATATGTGTGTGTGTGTGTGTATATATATATATGTATGTATGTATGTATGTATGTATGTATGTATGTATGCGTGTGTGTTGGATGAAACTAATATTGATACAATTTAATTTCCGTGCTAATCCGCGTCAAGTCGTTCATTAATAGAAAAACAAATTTGACATACGCGCAGGGTCGTTCAGGCTCACGCACACATGTATATACTAATAATTAATAATAAATTATTGAAGGATTCCCATATATGTTACTAGGTTTAAGGTATGATGAAATTGTAAAGACCTTCGTCACAATCCGATGGTATTAGCAGCCGACAATTTGTCACGTGATTCAGACTGAGGAACGAGGACAAGCGTATCAGATCTGAAAAATAAAAGCGTAAAATTTTAGTAAACATGAACATTAAACATGGAAGTTTATCAAAAAATAAATGATTGTGGTTTACTAGGTTATTCGTAAAATGATGTCCGCTTTTAGAATCAACTTTTGTTTTTAAATTAACGTATTTAAACAGTGCTTAAATCAGTCAAAAACGGAATCCTAAATACAGGATACAAACAAGGAGGAGGCTTATACTTAACATCAGGAAGAGGCAGCTGAAGTTTCTGGGACACATAATGAGGAGGGAGGGCCTGGAGAATCTGATACTCACGGGTCGAATAGTGCGAAAGAGAGACAAGAGAAAGCAATGCATGACATATCTAGCGAGCTTAAGCAAATGGATGACAGAATGTCGTCTGGGGGAAGTGGAAGAGGGACGGAACTTGTTGAGAGGTGCAAGGGATAGGAGAAGGTGGAGAGCCACGATCGTTTACGTCCTGAAAGGACACGGCACATAAAAAGAAAAAGACCCTATCGAATAACTTTTATATAGGATAATAATGTTTCATAAACATATATCAGGTTGAAACGAAATAATAATGTATTTAATTATCAAACCTAGTTTCTGTCCTGCTATTTACCCATAGATGGAGGGAGAAGAAGATTCATACCGTTCCCAAGGGTATTAGCACGTAAGTGAATGTAATATTAGGTTGGTACAAAAATAATGACGTAATAATGTCGTTTTTTGACGTAACGTCAAAAAACGACATTATTACGTCATTATTTTTGCACCAACCTAATAGATTCGACTGGAATTCGAACTCGGCTCAACGATTCCTCGAGTCGCTATCCATTACTCCACCGTGCCTCCCATAAAGAGCAATGATCGCCTACATCCTGAAAGGACACAGCACATAAAAAGAAAAAGACCCTGTCGAATAACATATATATATAGAAAATTAATGTTTCAGTTAACACATGTCAGGTTGAAACGAATTAATAATATATTCATTTATCAAACCTAACTTCTGCCCTGCTATTTATCCATAGCTGAGGTGGGGGGGAGAAGAGGAGGATTCATACCTTTCCCAAGAGTGTTAACATTTAAGTGAATTTAACGGATTCGACTGGAATTCGAACTCGGCTCTACTATTCCTCAATTCGAGCTGTTAACCATTACTCTACCGTGCCTCCCATAAAGAGCTATGATCGCCTACATCCTGAAAGAACACGGCACATAACTTTCGGACTATTGTCAAGATGCTTGAAAATTAGTCAATGGGCGAGAGTTCAGGGGAATGGGCGAGAGTTCAGGGGAATGGGCGAGAGCATACATTTCTAATAAGGGTATGTACTAAAAATAGTCCAAGTAATAAAACAGGGTTATATATATATATATATATATATATATATATATATATATATATATAATAAAACAGGGTTATATATATATATATATATATATATAAAACAGGATATATATATATATATATATATAAAACCCTGTTTTATTACTTGACTATTTTATATGGCCTGACGATTGCATATAGCATGAAACAGACTGTCGCCTCTAAGTGTTGACTTCTATGTTCACTTTTATATATTTACACGCTCTATCTCTGATATTGAGCACTTTTATTCCATAAATATAGCATACCTTAAGACTACATTTTTTATATATATATATATATATATATATATATATATATATATATATATATTCCGTAGCATACCTACGGACGGTAATGAGTGCGTCCTCATTCACATAAATACAGTAGTAAATACTGTATGTTGGTCGACAGTTAGAGATTTGTCTCCAGTTGTGCTGGTCAAACTCTCTGCCTCTGGGCAGAAAAGATCCCCAGACGAGGCTATATCGAAGGGCAGAGTCTCGTCTCGGAAAACAGCTACCCGAGCCCATTTTGTACAGGGGTCTACGTAGAATTTTTGGCAGAGCCTACGGGCTCGGATACCCCACATTAAATTCGGCCTTGTTTCACATCTGACCGCGTGGTGCGGTTGATTGACATCCTACAGTTGGAGATTCCTTTCCAGCTGTGCTGGTCAAACTCTCTGCCTCCGAGCAGAGAGGATATCCAGACGAGGCTATATCGAACGGCAGAGTCTCGTCTCGGAAAAGGGCTACCCGAGCCCATTTTATACGGGTTCTACGGGGAATTTTTGGCCGAGCCTACGGGCTCGGATACCCAACATTAAATTCGACTTTGTGCCACATCTGACCGCGTGGAGCGGTTGGTAGATATCCTGCAGTTAAAGCTGTCGGTGGTTGTGCTAGAGCGAAGTCACAAGTCACCGTGACTGAGGGTTTGGGTGTGCTTCCCTTGTTCAGATTGTTGATCACGCTAGTTAAGACGTTCTCCCCCCCAAAACTGCAACTAAGGTCCGCACAGCATAGTTGCAGTATAAACCACAGGTGGACTCTGTGGGTGTTGAACAAACACGAATTTGCCTGAGCAGGCGTCTGCAACAGGGATTGTCTAGCCTCCTCAGTAGACGTGCATCCTCGGAAACGAGTGGCCAGCCACAATATCTTTTCCGGCATATCTTTAATGTATTTTAGACATCCGAGAATATTCATATTTCTCTCACTTAAACTGTCTTTAACTCCCCTCTTTAAAACTTCTCTCTGTTAAATTTTAATCCCCCCTTTCATCTTTAGACCTTCCAGTTCTTCTCTCGTCTGTTACCCCTCTCTATAGCTTTCATTTACTCTAACATTCGTCCCACACTCTCATACATACACTCTCACTAAATTTTATTTTTTATTTCCGGAGTTGTTTTTTCTGTTTTCTTTTTGAATTTGTAGGTCTGATGAATTGGATCGTATTTACGATTCCAATGGAATAAATTATGACCATGAAATATTAGTGTTTAAGCCTTTTTATTATATATATATATATATATATATATATATATATATATATTAGTGTCTAAGCCTTTTTATTATATCCTTACTCTGTCCTAGACATTGAGTTCTACCTGGATTCTATCCTCTTGGATTTATTTTTTATACAAATATATATGTATGTGTATGTATGTATGTATGTATATATATTTACATATTTCAGATATATGATTGCATATGTATGTGTATATTTACCACTAATATTATCTATCTATATATATATATGTGTGTGCGTGTGTGTGTAAATATAAAAGTGAACATTGAAGTCAACAATCAGAGGCAACAGACTGTTTTATGCCGAAGCGTACAACGGCCGAAACTTTGTCAATATGGCAATGAAGATGAGGAAATCAGTCCGAATAATGTAAATAATGCAAGTAATCATAATACCTCATCTCAGATACAGACAGATAATAAAGCATTCAGCAGTTCGAAATTCCAATCACCTGGAGAAGGCCGAAGCGTACAACGGCCGAAACGTTGTCAATATGGCAATGACGACAACGATAACAATCCGAATAATGTAAATAATGCAAGTAATCATAATACCTCATCTCAGAGATATAGACAGATACAAGAGGAGCGTGTTGGTCCGATTATTAAAGCATTTAAAAAATCAATTCAGTATTTTATTTTATTGTTTTTCTTGTGAACCTGTTAATAAATAGTTACGACGGCGAATTATGTTTTAGGGGCGGCAATAAATAATTATTTTAATCTATATCTATAATTCTCAAAATGTATGTGTGTCTGTCCTCGGATGTTGTTTATGCATTTCCACAGTTTTCATCCGATTTTGGTAAAAAAAAAATTTTGTTTGATAGATAATTCTTCAGCGCCGATTTTGAGTCTAAATTGTTGGCGACAATGGCTCTCCACTACTTCCTGTCTATTATAACACTCAGCAACGTTTTACTATTTACTATCTGTTCTTGGATATATATCTTTCATAAAAATAAATAGTTTAAATTATGACAATAATATTATTGATTATTATACAGTACCCTTTTCAGGGCCACTCCCCCCATTCAAATTGTTACCCCCCCTATTTGGGGATGTGCCTCAGTTGTACCCAAATGTTGTTACTATTAGTGATTTTCGGGTGGGCTGATTTTAAACTTGAACGGCTCCAACTGAACGGCGAAAATCCACAGTAATGAAGCGATTTTCGAAGCCTACCTTAGATGTGGCACAAGGCCGAAAGTAGGTGGCACCGAGTGAGGATCGAACTTACGACTCAGTTGTAAGTATTCTAGCGAGACAAGCTTGCTAACCATTACACCGCCTCGAGGTGCCTCAAACTCCCACTAATGAAAGATCCGATCAAAGATGGGTTATACTGCTAAAACTCTTATTAAAAACGACTTTAATTCATAATAATAAAAGCAGTAAAAAGTGTATAGATTATTCTCCCACTTACCAACAGTGTGTACCAAAGAATGAAAAAAAAGGATGGTAAAAAGGAACAGAAACGTAATGATCACAATGTCTACTTTTTGTCGATTGCAATTTGTCTATTGGCGGGAGATTCCACGTGCTCAAGTGGACAATGGATACTCAGCACTCCGTCGTTAGACAATGTAGCCCGTAGATGCTCGGGGTCAGTCCCATCCGGCAAGGTATATTGACGGGAAAACACGTGATAGACGCTCGAACTAGCTGTCTTCTGTTCGTGTTTAGCATGGATAGTCAGCTGCTTCTCAACGATCTTTATGGTGATTTCATTCGGTTTAAACGGACTGACATCAACTTGCACCTGTATATGAATACAAAAGAAAAGACGTTATAAACAGGTAGCGCTCAGGGTTGATTAAGCAAATTATCTATAAACTGTTTGATGATAAGAAAGTTTCTGTTAGCGACAGGTGACAGGTGAATTAGGGATTATCTGTTGTTCTTAGATTATGAAATGAGGTATTATAATGTTTGCTTGTGTGTAGAACTGTTGCATTTTTCAAACAGGACAGAGTTCGTTAAGTTTGACCCAACTGACAGCAGAGAAGTATCTGTTGCCAAAGTGTCCCAGCTTTTAATATCTCACCACGTTTTCTTTCAATCGTTCTTTTTTTCTTAATATTTTTTTCTTAATATTTTCCCCATTCGTTCTTTCTATATTTACCGGCTTGAATACGTTTCGTGAGCAGATATGATCGATCGAGAAAAATCGCCCAAGATTGTGTGTTTAAAAACAGTAATTTCGACTTCGCTAACCAAACGCTTCGCTGTAGCTAAATTGTGTAGCACATCAGATCATATGACAGTTTCCGTATAGGAATATAGATTCGATTCAGAGAATGCATATTTTCTACGAAATTTCCCAAACCTTCAGGTCGGTAAATGTAATTAATACTGTTTAATTAAAAATCAGAGCATTTACTTAAATAAATTGTATCGTTTTTTTAAGCATTTCACCCCAAGCAAGGCAGGAGTTCCACTAGCACGCAAGGGGTTACAGAGAGTGAGAGCAAGAGTAAAGAGGGGGTGTTTGAGGAAAGGATAAAGAGAAGGACGGTGATCAGGATCAAGGCATCAGAAGATATCGATTGGCATTACATTTAAATTTTTGAAGATCTATAAAAAAAAATAGCTTATAAAGAGAATATATATATATATATATATATATATATATATATATATATATATATATATATATATATGAATTTGGTTAGATTACAAAAAAATTATTTCTCGTTCGAGTGCATGCAGTCACAACAATGTAAACAATGCCAGTCCAATGAAGTCCTAAAGAATGAAAAGCATCACAAAAACTTTTTCCAATTTAGGGATACATCTTTTATTTATATATATATATATATATATATATATATATATATATATATATATATATATATATATATATAAACCTAGAGAGCCAGACAAACCTACCACGGTTTCACCTTAGAACCAGCCTTTCCTGACGATCCGCTAAGGTGAAACCATGGTAGTTTTGTCTGGCTCTCTAGGTTTAACTAGGTCTGCTCTACTTATTGTATTGAACACTTTCTTTAGTTATTTTGGGTACTCGTATCGGTTTTTTTAGACGATTATTTTCGGCTAACGTACATGTTCTTGGTTCTTTCTTCTTTTATACCATTTTTTTTTCCTTTTGGTATTGGTTTGATTATTTGAAAATCAAGACACCGAAGGTTTTCCGAACGAGTATAATTTCTTATACTTATAAGATTAATACTACTAATAATAATATATAAATATATATATATATATATATATATATATATATATATATATATATATATATATATATATATATATATATATATATATATATATATATATATATATATGATTTGTCATGTAGTTGATTGATGCTATATTCAGCACATAGACTCCGGAGATTCGTAGACAAATCTCCTTGTAATCGTTCAGTCCACTCATCAGAAGGTTTCAGCAACGTACGTACATAGCACGGTCTGATTTTATTATAGTCCTGGGTGTTTTTACTCGAATAATTTTAACCAACTAATGTCAAGACTTTCGCGTCTGTTAGGATGTATGGGGGCCTGACAATTCGGTTCTTAGAAACAAACCACCAGTCTACCTGACTGACATGATTTGACTGTCGTGATGAAAGCTTATATATAACCAGATTGGAAGTACTGGTAGCAAAAGGCTTTCAACAAAGTACGCCACAAAGATCTGTTTGAAGTGCTCGACAACCTTGATATATTCGGGAAATCTATTAGAACCTCTACTGGCATCAAACGGCCTGCATGCGGATAGAGAATGAGTTCAGTAGATATACAAAAATAGAAAGGGGCGTAAGGCAAGGGTGTGTCTTCTCACCGGACTTATTCAAACTATTCAGCGAGACAATTCTGAGAGAACTGGGAATCATACCAGGAATCATTATTAATAACATAAGATACACTGATGACACAGTGCTGATAGCAGACACTGAAAGAAAAAAACAAACTACCAAACCTCCTACAGAAGGTAGCGAAGGAGAGCGAGAAGAAAGGACTAAGCATAAAGTACAAGAAGACAGAATACATGGTCATCAGTAAAAAGATTAAACCGAAATGCAGTTTACAGGTCGGGGACACTAAAATCAAACAGGTGCAGAAATTTACATATATGGGAAGTGTTCTTACAGAGGACGGTAAGTGCGATGCTGAGATCCGAAGACGGATTAGGATGGCCAAAGACGCATTCCAAAAGCTAGGGAGAGTATTACGAGACAGGAGGATTTCGTTGGCGACAAAGAAAAGTGTACTGAACTGCTACGGGACATCTGTCCTCCTTTACGACAGCGAATGTTGGACAGTCTCCTCAAAGATGAAGAAAAAGACTCAAGGAAACGGCGGTAAGGTTCTACAGAAGGATGCTAAGGATACCATGGACCAAGCATTTGATCAATTATGAGGTTTTGGAGAGGCTGCAAACAAGGAGGAAGCTTATACTTAACATCAAGAAGAGGCAGCTGAAATTTCTGGGACTCGTAATAAGAAAGGAGGACTTGGAGAATCTGATACTCACAGGGCGGACATAGAGAAAGAGGGACAAGAGAAAACAACGCTTGACATACTTAAGGGGCTTTAGCATGTGAATGGCGGAACAGGGTCTGGGAGAAGAAACAATAAAGTCAAAGCTTATTGAGAGAAACAAGGGATAGAGGGGCGTGTAGAGCCATAATCGCCTCCGTGCTGAAGGGACACAGTATATAAAAGAACATGTGATCAATGATGAGGTTTTGGAGAGGCTGCAAACAAGAAGGAAGCTTATACTTAACATCAGGAAGAGGCAGCTGAAATTTCTGGGACACATAATAAGAAAGAAGGGCTCGGAAATCTGATACTCACATGTCGAATAGAGAAAAAGAGAGACAAGGGAAAGCAACACGTGACATACCTAACGGGCTTAAGTAATTGAATGTAATGAACTCGACTGGTATTCGAACTCGGCTCTCCGATTCCTCAATCCGAGCTGCAATCCATTACTCCACCATGCCTCTTCAGGCAAGAAGAGTTGATTCATGCATTTCCCAAGGGTATTAGCACATAAGTGAATGTAATGAACTCGACAGGAATTCGAACTCGGCTCTCTGATTCCTCAATCCGAGCCGCAATCCATTACTCCACCGTGCCTCTTCAGACCAGAAGAGTTGGATTCATGCCTTTCCCAAGGGTATTAGCACGTAAGTGAATGTAATGAACTCGACAGGAATTCGAACTCGGCTCTCTGATTCCTCAATCCGAGCCGCAATCCATTACTCCACCGTGCCTCTTCAGACCAGAAGAGTTGGATTCATGCCTTTCCTAAAAGGGTATTAGCACGTAAGTGAATGTAATGAACTCGACTGGAATTCGAACTCGTCTCTCCGATTCCTCAATCCGAAACGCAATCCATTACTCCACCGTGCCTCTTCAGACCAGAAGAGTTGGATTCATACCTTTTCCCAAGGGTATTAGTACGTAAGTGAATGTAATGGACTCGACTGGAATTCGAACTCTGCTTTCTGATTCCTCAATCCGAGCCGCAATCCATTACTCCACCGTGCCTCTATCAGATGTGTTGGATTCATGCCTTTCTCAAGGTTATTAGCACGTAAGTGAATGCAATGAACTAAACTGGAATTCGAACTCGGTTCTCCGATCCCTCAATCCGAACCGCTATCCATTACGCCATCGCTAGCTGAAAAGTCTTGCAAATTCAATGTTTGATAAATAAAAGTGAGTAAATGATATTTTTGAATTTTTTTTTATTTTTAGTTATTTTAGTTTGAGATTATTTTAATTATTTTGAATAATATGAAGTTAGGAATTTAACCGTTTTCTTTTAATTTTCTTTTTACATTTTTGTAGTCATGTCTCTTGGTTGGGAAAGCAGACATTCTTTCAGGAATTGTGAAAAAAACCCGGGGCGTTGATTTATATTTTGATAAGATTCCATAGAGGCACTCTCGGGGAAATTCCCTTTCTAAGTTAACTTCACTTTTAAGAGAAGGAAAATTCTCAAGAATTTTTACCTATTTTCATTATCGTATATCAGATGTTCTTTTACCTAATGTTTTCTTACTATGTCAAGAGTTTTTTGTTTAATTATCGCTGGATTTTTTTGGGGGGTGGGGGGTTGGCGGGGGGGAGGCGATGTCCGAAAGGTCAGGCAAATTATGGAGAACGACAAGTGACACAATTCAATATCTAATAAATGAAACTGTGTAAATTATTTTCTTGATTTTTTTTTGAATGCAAATTAGTATTTAAATTATTTTAGTTTGTGATTAATTTTTGAGTAATTTATATTTTGAATGAAACGAGGTTATGAATTTAACCATTTTTTTTTGTTTTTGTTTTATGTAAGGGTGTGTATATATATATATATGTGTGTGTATATATATATATATATATATATATATATATATATATATATATGCATGCATGTGTGTGTATGGATGTGTATGTGTATACACACATAAACATGCACATGCATATGTATGTGTATGTGTATGTGTGTGTGTATATATATATATATATATATATATAGAGAGAGAGAGAGAGAGATAGATATATGCATGTGTGCATGTGTATGTATGTATATGTATGTGAAAAGTGTGTGTATATGGATATAGATGAATATGTGTATGTGTGGATATGTGAATATATTTTTATATTTTTATATGTGTGTACATGGGTATATGTATGTGTGTATGTGGGTACACGCCTATGTGTATGTATATACGTGTATATGTTATTGTGTATGTGTGTATTCGCATGTGTTTTTGAATATAGAAATATTATATTTGATTTGTAACCTGTAGTCGATACTAAATCTGTCAAATTTTCTCAATTACAAAGCGGCCCTTTAAGTAAACGCAATTTTACTTTCCTTCACCACATCTCTCTCCCCCACCTCGTCTTTCCCTCCCTCTTATTCTAACATTAGATTGTCTATGGTGTGTGTATGTCACCACGAAATGTATCTTTATGCATTAGACATCAGTCAACATTCATTCTTTTCTCTTATTTAAACCCTTCCACCCACCTCTCCTAAAATTCTCTGTGTTAAGGTTTAATCTCCCTCCTCCTCATACTTACTCTCTCTAAATTCTGTTTTTATTTCCGGAGTTGTTTTTTTTCTGTTTTTTTTTGAATTTGTAGGTCTGATGAATTGATTGTATTTACGATTCCAATGGAATAAATTATGACCATGGAATATTTTAAGCCTTTTATTATATCCTTACTCTGTCCTGGACATTGAGTTCTACCTGGATTCTTCCTCTTGAATTTTTATTCAAAAAAATATACATGTATGGGTATTTATATATTTTGCATATGTATGTATATTTACCACTAATATTAACTATATATATATTGTCGACATGAAAAAAAATCCCCTTATTATAAAGTTAATTTATGGGGGGTTGTTGAAAAAAGGCTTTCGTTTTTTGTCTATCTTTTTAAATTTGGATTTTTAATGTAACTATAACAACAAAAAATATTTGATTTCATTTCAAAAGTCGGAAGACGAAACGCGTCGGCAAAATCTAAGATTTTTTTTCCAATTGTCATTTTATACCAATCTGTCTTGTACACAGAATTGATAAGGGAATTTAACTATATATATATATATATATATATATATATATATATATATATATGTGTGTGTGTGTGTGTAAAAGTTAATATTTTTATTTCAAAATATTTTAACATGATACTGGAACAATTTTAGTTCGGAAACAGAAATTTTTATGTACCGATGTGAAATATTTTTTAAATAAAAATATTATTAAAATATTTTGGTCTACGTTGTATCGAGCACTTTCTTTTAAAAAAAGTAAATGCTAAGAATGGTGGATTCTTAATCTGTCTCTTCTTTCTTTTTATATATATATATATATATATATATATATATATAGATTTATGTAAGTAAAAGGTTAAAGAAATAATAAAACAAGTGTTACAGATATATCATATTAAACAGTAAGTATAACAGAAGAGTATTACACGACTAGTGAGTGTGTGCCTGTTGACCCAGCGTTCAATCTATTCGACTGATAATATTTAACAGCCTCCCCCCTACGAGGGTGTATGTGGCAAAAGGCCGGTTTATTGTGAGTATTCTGTGCCCGTAGGCTCGGTCAAAAATATTCCCTTTGAACCCGCTTAAACGGGTTCAGGGCCTGTCTGCCTCCCCGGACGAAACTCTGCCCTTCGTCAAAGCCTGTTCCAAGTTCCACTCTGATCAAGACAGAGAGTTCGACAGATGAACAATCTGTTCGACTGTTTCTCCAAGGATTATAGTAGGCGGAAGAGTCCAACATAGACTCTTTAGAGGGAGGACACCATAACAATATATATATATATATATATATATATATATATATAGTGTTGTTCAGAGTGTTGATCTTTCTAGATAACATGCTCTCTCCCAGTAACTGTAGTTAAGGTCTGCTCAGAATAGTTGCAGTATAAACCACAGGTTGGCTATGTGGGTGTTGAACAAAAATAAATGTGCCTGAGCGAGAGTCTGCAATAGGGATTGGCTAGCCACCCTAGTAGACGGGTATCCTCGAATACGAGTGGCTAGCTATTATATTAAATTATATTATATTTCATATGTTTATATATATATATATATAAAGACAAAAGGAAAATGTAGTGTGTGTGTGTGTGTGTATATATATAAGGACAAAAGGAAAATGTAAATAGTATATATATATATATATATATATATATATATATATATATACATATAATAAAAAAAGCGTAAACACTAATATTCCATGGTCATAATTTATTCCATTGGAATCGTAAATACGATCCAATTCAAAAAGAAAACAGAAAAGAACAACTCCGGAAATAAAAATAGAATTTAGAGAGACTGTAAGTATGAGAGTGTGGGACGAATGTTAGTGTTAAAGAGAGGGGTAACAGACGAGAGAAAGTGGGAGATTAAAACTTAACAGAGAGGGTTTTTTTTTTAAATAGTAATCGTAGTAATATTTGAGTAATGTTCTATGGCGGCACTCTCTAGAATTTTCCTTCTGAGTAAGTTATATTCTTTTTTTTTATAAGTGTAGCATTTTTAAAATCAAATTTATGATTGAATTTATTTCTATGTATGACTACTGCATTAGCTAAGTTGTTTTTTTTATGTTATTATTAGTTACTTTCATTAATTAAATTCATTTCGTTTTTTGCTTTGAGAAAGTCCACATTGGACGAAACTACAGATTTCCTATTGTCATTTATATTTATAAATATTGTCTTTTCTACAGGTTAACTCTGAGAAATTTTCATATATATATATATATATATATATATATATATATATATTAAGAAATGGACAAGGTCCGACAATTTATTTATTAAAGACGTCATTTGTTTACATTTGATACGCCAGAGCAGTTATGAATGTACGAGATTCATTGAAGATTGAAGTTTATAAGCAGTAAATTCGACCTTGTCTACCGAAAAGGTTCTTTGTAGCCTAGAGGTAAGGCACGTCAGCGTATATGACGGTTCCGTATAGGATGCAGGTTCGAATCCTGTCAAAGAACGAATATTTTCTATGAAAATTCTCGGATATTCAGGCCGGTAAATGTTATTTAATACTGTTTATCTTAAACAGAGCATTTGCTTAAATACTTGTATCTATAAAAATAACAACGTTAAACATAAAAATGTCTTTAATATATAATATATATATACGGATATATAGATATGTGAAAAAGATGGCTTGAATAATTTAGCATTAAGAGGATGTCCTGAAGGAAGTAGGGGTAGAGGGAGATACCGAGCAATTTCCCTAATGAGATTGTGTGAATGGATGACAGAGCCGACGTAAGGCGTGATGAAAAAATGTCAAACATTGGTGATGACTACAAAAGACAGGGTGTTGTGGAGAGCCACGATCACCCTCGTCCCGAAGGCGCATATCAAGGAAGATTATATAATGAAAAGTTCCAAGCCCGACCAAGATGGAATTTTAAAAAGTTTCTGCTCCTGACGTTTGTCCATTTGGTCAGATTTTGCGTGTTAGGGGATCGAGCCGGGAACTTTTCGCTCCTTACCTGAAAGCGTTTGTTTCCGTCGGGCCCGACCACGATCGGGTCCCTGAATTTGTCAAGAGCCGTATTCGTCTCAACTCCGGATTCCTCGCTGGGGTTCATCCGTAGCATGGCGCTGCGCATGGCCTGCATGTCGCGGTGCATCTGATCCACCTGAACGTTCATCTCACGGAAAAGGCCGTCAAAAAATGGCGCATCACTCAGCGTCGGCGTGACAACGCGTTCGTTTTGGTTGGACGCAGCCATGTCGTCCAGCCCCGACAGTAGAATTAAAAGCCCCAGTGTCGCGCTAGTCGAGGTCGGAGCCGACCACGGCTCCTCCGGTTGAAAATATAGGTTCTGTAAAAAAATAATGTTATCAAATTTAGTGTATTGGGGCAGCAGATCATTATTTAAACATATATTATTAAATATAACAGACAATGAATGTCTGTTATGTTTGATTATGAACCGTTCTAAACTTCGTGTGTTTGCTTTAATTTCGGGTGAAAATAAAGACAAAAATTATCCAACATTTGGATATTTTTTTATTAAGTTGTTCCATGCTCTAAGCTTTCGGCTCAAATGATCCACCAGAGTGGTTATATCTTTGTTAAAATGCCCGTATAACCACTCTGAAGATGGCTCATGTGAGCCGAAAGCTGAGATCAAGGTTAAACTTATCCAAATGTTGGGCAATTTTTGTTTTTATTTCCACCCGATATTAAAAAACGGCTACTGATCACACATAATAGACATTCATAGTCTATTATATTTAACAATATATGTTTAAATAATGTTATCAAAATAAACATTATTACAGCAATAAAAACGTACATACCAGGCTTTGCAAAAAGTTCTGTTACACTGTTATTTTAGTTTCAAAGCCCGAATAGACGATATCCTGGGTGTAATAAGACCAATATTGTTATTCGAATAATTTATTGTGTGCTTACACAATATTATTAATCAATATTCCCGCCGTTAGAAGTGAGTGCGAGGTTCAAGTTTGGTCAGAAGGCCGCGCACACTTTACAGGCGTAGTACTTCCTCGTTCAGACCCATCCGCAGATAACGGAGGACTTCAGCTCTTTGACATTGCTATGACGTACTTTCCAAGCCTTGTTCTCAATTAAATGGATGACAGAACAGGGATTAGGAGAGATAACAAAAAAACACAATTTATTAAGAACTACGAACGACAGGAAACTGTGGAGAGCCATGATCGTCCACGTCCTGAATGGACACGACACAAAGAACAAGAAGAATCGTTACAGATGAAAACAACGCATAACGAGTAAATGGATGGTAGAAAAGAGATTAGGAGCGATAACAAAATGACGACATTTATGAAGCGCTACATAGGACTGGAAATTGTGGAGAGCCATGATCGCCAACTTCCTGAAGGGAAACGTCATATAGAATAAGATGATCCCAACACGGAAAAGGTTTGATCAAAGCCGACCAAGGTTTAACCAGTCGCGAAGTCGAAAGTGCAATTCTGTCCTCAATAACTGACCCTATCTCGAAGAGCTGGAACGGTAAATTTACAGAAGCCACCTGACTACAAAACTGCATGCATATTTTCTGGCAGAGAAGCCAGCTTCTGCCAGATCGATAGATCGATATTGCCACGCCCTGTCAATCACTAAATTAACGATGCACTGTAACGCATAACCGCGGCTTCCTGTATAATGAGTCGGAATTATTGGTTCTATTTTAGGAGAAACAAAACAAAGGCCGGCCTGGGGATTGAAATGGAGGCTTTCTTTATAATCTGTCTTCTCGCCTTCTCACTCCCACCAGAAGCAGCTTCGATTTATTCGCTTCTCCGCGTGGGCAGAATGTGAAGCAAGGTTATTTTTTTTAAAAAAAGGTCGTGACCCGTTCATGTTTAATGCCGGGGTATCTAAAAACGTTAAATTTTTGTAACCCCCCCACCTCAACAGATTTTGTTCCCTTGCTGAAGATTGTGTTTACCTTGACAATATTATTAGGACACGAGTTATTTTTCTTCTTCTACGGGGTGTCCCAAAGTCTGGACACCCTAGGCCAAAATGCATATTTTCAAGAAATTAAATTTTCAACAACATCTTATTGAATTAGAGAATTAACAAATATCTTCAATATGATTTCCATCGTCTGTGATGAAAAGGTTGATGCACTTTGCTAGATTCACGTGAACTCGATGCAATAGCTCTACATTACCGCCAATTTTAGCACATTTACTCTTGAAGCGTTTAATCAAGTGTGCTGCATCTGTGGTTTTCATTGAGTACACCTTCTCCTTTAGTATAACCCAGAAAGAGAAGTCAGTTCTTTCTTCTTTAGACAAACCTATGTTTAATCTGTGGAGGTAAAAAAAATATAGTTAATGATGTTTCCTATATGTCCAGACTTTAGTGACACACCCTGTATGTACCCTTTACCTCCAGGATATTGGCGATCATAACTCTCCACAATTTCCAGGCCTTTGTAGCGCTTAGTAAATATTGTCTCTCCTAAACCCTGTTCTGCCATTGTTAGGTAGGTTACGCGCGGCTTTCCTCTGTCTCTCTTCCCTTCAATCTGTCCTTTTTAGTGTCAAATTCGCCAAGTCCTCTTTCTTCATTATGTGCACTAGAAATTTCATCTCTCCCAGATGTTAAATACAAGTGATTTTTTCTTGTTTTAATTTTCCCTAAAAATTTGTCGTTGCCTCAATATTCAGTCTATGGTGCATATTTTAAAATGCTATACTCCTTGAAGACTTAGGCAACCGTGGCTCTATAACACGACCTGCCCGGTTCGATCCGGGATCTTTCCCACGCCGTCAATACTGGCACCGGTCAACCGATGGCTATCTGTTGATCGCTTCGTTCTTCCGCCTGCTCTGTCCCACGTTGGGTTCACTGATCACAGTGTAATGAAGGTCGAATTTCCGTCTACACTTAAGCGCTGAATCGAAGTGACGGAACCGTGCTATGAAAAAAAACAAGAATGTTTTTGCTAGTGAAGGCACACATATCAAAATAAATAACAAAGAAGGACGCTGGGTTAATTTTCAGTGGGTTCATATAATCGCTTATACAACAAAATTAACCCTCCCCATCTGACTATCCTGACACTGGATTTCTTGCTGGTAAAACTTGGAACAGGTTAAACAGTCACACGAAATGTTTGGTCGGTGGAACATCAACGGCTTCCTCGCTGCTGATTCGTCTTAGCCTTCTCCAACGGCGGCCACTAGCGCCGGCTACAACCGATCACCCTGTTTATATGCATCTCGCCTAACTCTTACTACCCCTCCAAGCTCATTATGTATTCACCAATTAATTATTTTGTCCACTCCTGGAATTATGATCTCGACCCTAAAACAACGCGGTCTGGCACTCCAAACCAATAAACTTTTTTTTTCACATTCCTCTTACCCAACAATTATTGCTTTCGTTAACATTTTTTTGTGTATAACAATTTATCCACATCGGCAAAGAATTCTGTCTTTAGAATTTTTTTCCCAAACAATAATTTCGCGTCAATAAAATTTATTTCAAATCAGTAATTTCTTCTGGTTGTCGATGTATCAAATCCTGACTTCGAGAATTCTTTTGTTCACTTTCCAAAACACACCAGAGTATTTACATTCCATCTTCTGTTTACTTTTCCAATAAGACCTAAATTCAATAAAAAAACGGTCGGTTGCAGCAGTTAACCGACCGTTTTTTATCGAATAATTTTGTTTTTTATCGAAACAAAATTATTTCATAAGATAACTGTATTCGTCCGTCAGTTTATCTGAAAAAAATATTTCTCTTTTTACTCTCGCCTCATATTCCAATTCTTGGTTCCCACTACATGTTTTCTTGCTTAACTTTTGTTTTTAACCCATCCAAAGCTGCAATTATGTACGGGGTTTTTACATGAACCCTTTCAATCTTTATTTCAAGCCACCAGTGCCACGATAGCGTCACATTCCTTTTAACTGTTACCAGTGACTCTTTATAGTGTAACAGCTCTCCGCATCTTCCTTTTATTTACCAAATGAGAACCAGTGTTGTAAATAACGTAAGAATTATATTATTTTATCTTTGCCTTGAAAAATATTCATTTTTCTACTATATGTTCATTCAATACAAGACCCAAGAGACACTCAAGGTAGGCAGTTATTGACTCAATGTTTTTTAATGGTTGTATCTTGTGCCAGATTATCTAAAAATGTTGACACATTGTATCCCAACTCAACTAACGACTTTTTCCCTTTGCAGGAGTAAATATCTACCCCGACTGATGTATATTTTGAAATGACCTATCCCTTCAAGATATAGGTGATTGTGGCTCTCCACAACTTCCTTCATTTGACAAACGAAATCAGGTGTTTCAACTGACGTGTTAAAGATAGTGTTTTATCACTGGTTCAAAAGTATACACTTTTTATTTTAATAATTGCTTACCCAACACAAGGTCCGAGGGCCCCTCGATGTAGGGAGTTACTGAATGAGCGTAAAAGGATGAAATAATAAGTGTACTGTAGGACATGGGGGATGTGTAGAACAAATAATGGTTGACCTTAGACTTGAAGAGATTAAGATCGTAGTGATCAGGGAAGCATCCACTCGGGAGTCTGTTCAACAATGTAGTGGCTATGGGGAAGAAATTGTCTGTGTGTAACTTCAACTTCCTTCTTACAAATGGGATACGAAAGGGATAGTGTTGATTCGACCGTGTATGTGGTATGGCAAGTACTAGCTGTAAAGGTCTGAACTGGTGGAGCTGTAAAGGTCTGAACAGATAGATAGATAGATAGATAGATAGATAGATAGATAGATAGATAGATAGATAGATAGATATGAAGAAAAGATGTAACCTAGGGAAGGTTACTGAATAGAATAATCAAACAAATGTTGGTAATGAACGATAATACTTAGGACAAGAACAACACATATAAGATTCACCAGCGGCGCGTAGAAGTAGTAGTCAACTGCTAGAAGCGAGTCAAGTGAATTACACAATGAATCTCTAATTGTAGACCAACATACAGTATTTATGTGAATGGGGACATGCGCATTATCGTCTGTAGGTATGCTAAAATAGATAGATAGATAGATAGATAGATAGATAGATAGATAGATAGATAGATGCAGAAAATAAATATCAATAGATGGGGATATATATATTGGTCTCTTTTTTTTACTAAATATTCAGCCAATAGAAGATGCAAGAACCACTCAAGGTAGAGGGTTACTGAATGCAGCTGAGTTACTCACCTAAGAGAAAGTAAGTGCAGGTTATGAGGATATATAGGATATATAACGGTTGGACATTGACTTGAAGAGATTAAGATTTTAGTTATCAGGGAAACGTTCTCTTTCACAAAGTAGCGGTTTGCAAAAACAACAAAAAAAATCAGAGATATCGGCTAACTAGTCAATATTTGAAAGCCATTTTTAATCTGTCGGATAATCGAAATTTATGATCGATAAAATATGCCAACAGATTTTTTCCCACAATTCAGTCTTTCTGACAAGAATATTGCCTCGTGGAAGCCATCTTATTTCTGTAAATAAAATCAGAATTGGGAATGAAAGCAATCCATATATTCACGTAAAGCTTTTAAAAATCCAATTAAATTACATAACGCTTTTAAAAAATTAATTTGCAATTACATAAGGCTTTTAAAAATTCAGTTGCAATTACATAAGGCTTTTTAAAATTGAGTTACAATTACATAAAGCTTTCAAAAATTCAATTGCAATTACATAAGACTTTTTAAAATTGAGTTGCAATTACATAAGGCTTTTAAAAATTCAATTGCAACTTCATAAAGCTTTTAAAAATTCAGCTGCAATTACATAAGGCTTTTAAAAATTCATTTGCAAATTCATAAGATTTTAAAAATTTCATTTGCAATTACTGAGATTTAAGAAACTTTATTTTTTAAAAAATTGTTATCTTTCTAATGCTATATTTCTTCAGGATGCGAGCGATATTGGCACTGCACGAATATTTCTTTAGTATTTGCCATGAGGTCTTCGGAAGGTTGGTTTCCACATACCTTCTCGGCTGTTTTGAATTCACATATGGGTCGAGAATCCTTTATCTGAAATTCTTGAGACCGGAAGTGCTTCGGTTTTCATTTTTTTTCGGATTTTCGAATGCACCTATTTAATCTTTTACGCTATTTACATTGGTCGAACTCTTTTTCTCATCTGTATTGCCATACTCAAGATTTTTCGGCCGTTGTACGCTCCAGACTTCTTTAAGTGATTGGAATTTTGAACTGAACCCTTTATTTCATCCCCTGGGGTACACTGTTCTGTTTCTACGCGCCATGACTCTTCCGGATATCTGAGTATCAGTTATTTCCTTTTAATTCAACTCTGCAAGTTTTTGTTCACCTCTGCCGTAGTCAGATATTAAACTCACGACTCTTCTTACCAATGCTTTTATCCAGTGGGCCATGTGTCCTTCAGAACAAGGTAAATAGTGTAAATAATTACAATACGTCATCTCATAAACATAGACAGCTATTTAATTTGTATATAGTATCTATAAATTGAGACAGCTTGGGAATGGAACCCAAGCATAAACACGATATCCCTTTACATTTCACAACACAGCTTATACATATATATAGTTTTATATAAATAACATATAACCTGAAAGTAGTTTTAATTAAAATTTAATAAATTTTGTGTACATACAGATAATGACTCGAGTTATGTAATGATCACATGGATTTTTAAGTGGTGAAATTAAGATTTCACGTAAAAATAATGTTTTGTACTTTTGTTAAATAATAGTTTAATAAACTATTATTTTTAAGTGAAGTGTATCTCAGCTCCGACTTCCGGAGTTTGATCTTCGGGGTCAGATGTAAGACAAAATAAGGAAGTCGATTTTGATTGTACGAGCTAGCGTAGGAATGATAGATAATGAAAGGTTTTTCTATGAGTTGTTTCTTACCCGTCAAGTGATGTAGACGTGTTCTCTTTCGTGTCTGAAAAGGTTCCCCAGTGAGGGGAGCGACTCCCCACTGGATAGTTAGATAATTTACATGTCGACATGATTAATAAAAATAATTAAGTTAAAATTCTCTGTGTTGAAGTATTTCATTACCGAACTGAAATAATTGGCGAACTGGAACAATTTCAAACAAAAGGTTAAAAAGTAAATTCCATCAATACTGGAAAGAGCGATAACAGCTACTGGGCTTAAGAAACTGTTATGGTAATTTACCCACGCACGCATGGACTCTCCTTGTTATAAATAGGAGCAGGTACTTCCTTTTGGAGAGGGAAGTTTCCAGCAGTCAGCTCTGACAGCCAGACCGAACATTCTTGCTGTAACACTCACGTTTGTATATGTTTGTATTACTGTTTCTGTTAATATATTTGTTTAACTCAATTCCTCTCTTTGTGTCTTTATTTCTGGGCCTAACAAGGCTACAACAGAAAACTAATTCCCTGAAAAAATGTTTTAAGAGAAAGACTTTGTAAGTATGCAATCATCACAATCAACAACCTTACAGTATTCTTCCAATGAACCGCTGCTTTGTGTAATCGACTCCCAAGAGGATACTTCCCCGACCACTAAAATCTTAGCCTGTTCAGTCTAGGGTTAACTGTCATCTTCCCCATTTATCTCCATAGACTATGCTTATTCTTTAACACTCTACCTCGAGTGACTATTGGGCTTCGTTCAGAGTGAAAATCATTGTAAAAATGTACGTGAGACCATTCCAAATAAAAAAAAAAGAAAGAAAAAAGATACATTCAGAGGACAACAATCCTGAATTTAAAAAATTAATACAAAAAAAGAAACAGCTGAGGGAATAATGGAACGGAAAATATTAAACAATTAGCAAAGAAAAATAAGTACATGCAACATCTCTGTTAGTGTCTGCCTCTCACGCAGTAAACTTTCCAGACACATAAGTCGCTTCACGGTAGTTTGCCTCTCGAACAATGAAACTCAATAGTCTTTCGAAATTGCGATGCCGACGACGAATCCAACGAGACCTATGAGATATCACTGGCGTCTCAAAACATTTTATGGGTAAAAAAAATGTAATTTACATCAAGAAAAGGAGCCAGAGTTTATAAAAAAAAATCGTTAATACATGATCATTACTACTGTATTGAAAATAAAGTTCTTCTGTTTCCTATTTCTAATAGTCCTGGGTATGACGATAAACTACACCCGGCAGCAAGGTTTCTGATCGGGAGATTGAAGGTTTTCAGGAGTGTGGAAAGAACCTTTTAATTACTGTTCTTCCCAGTTCCATCCTGACCTAGAGTGGTAGCACCCGTTAGGGTCCCAGCTATGGACAAATAGTCAACCACCAAACAAAAGCAAAGCAACATGAAAGTATAAAAATACATTTTATAGTAAAGTTATCAACAGTAGCTATTTGTAGTAAAATAACTAACAATACTTATTTATAGTAAAATGATCAGCAATACCTATTAATAGTAGAATTGCCAATAATACATTTTGTAGTAAAATGACCAAAAATACATTTTATCTCTACTTGAAGTCATTAAATTGTGTTCAATATATTTCGATTTCGGCATAACCCATAGAGATCGATATGCCGCTAAACAAAATCAATAAAACAACCAATATGAAAGAATTTTCATGACATTAAGCCATATAATATCCTATAATTTCTTAAATTAAACTTTATTCCAAACTATAACTTCAACAAAACTACAACATAAAACACGTATATCAACGCCTCTAGTAACTATGTCCACACAAACATGTATATATACAAAAGCTAAGTATCATCTACCATGTATGCAATTGTGAGAGCAGAATAACATATTTTCATTACTTCAGAGCTCAAAAGAAAATTAAATTTCTACATTAAATGACCCATAGCGAGTTGATATGCCGTTAAACAGACAAATCAGTCAGTCAACTTAGGAGTATGGCTATAAAATTACCGGTGTTCAAAATATTTAGATTTCAACATTAAATGACCCATAGAGATGTTGATATGCCGCTAAACAAGATCAACAAAACAACCAACATAAAATAAATCTTTCATGACATTAATCCATATAATACCCGACAATTTCTTAATTCAAACTGTATTCCAAAATATAACTTCAACTAATCGATATTATTCTTTTTACCAAAGAAAAATGCTAAAGGTTTTATTCTCATTAGCGAGGAAAGTAAGGTCGCGGATGTGTCAGATTTAATCTAATTTATGACGACGCACCGAATAAGATATATCCAATCTGCCCATGGCAATGGTAAAAATTTCAAGTTGGACAAGTGACCTCCCGCAGAGTGCTGGGAGATAAAAATTAATTAGGTCAAGCTTGACCGAAACCGAAATGTCCGTTGAAACACCTCCATGTCATTTGGGAAAAACACCTGTTTATTGTCAGGGCTGGCTATGATAGCAAAATTATTTTATCAGAACGAATAATTGGCACCAAGGTGCGATACGTCCAATTGACCACCCACTTGTTTGGCGAAGGTCCCGAGTGACGAATTCCATATGAAATTCGGATAAGATAAGGACTTGTTGTCGGGCAGAAGAAAGGAAAGAAAGGAAGAAAAGAAAAAGGAAGATAATTTTTTTTTTCTTTGAGCAAGATTTTTTTAATCCGAGGCCAGTCTGGCCACACCCACACTGCTGGGCGACCATTGGCTGAATGCTGGCGTGAGCGGCAGGCGAAGAAGAAGGGGAGGCCTGTTGACACCCCCTCTGAAGGGATCGGTATGAGATGCGACTGTGAGAGAGAGGGGAAACCCGTTGACACCCTCTGAGGGTATGGTGAGATACCAATATGAGAACAGAAGAAGGTGGGAGGACGAAAGACTTCCAAAAATGGAAAATAATAAATTTTCCTTACCGAAAACAAAGAAGTGGATTGTGGATTTAGAATTATCAAGGAACCTCAACCCCGACAAGCTCACCTGAGGGTATGGTGAGACACCAATATGAGAACAGAAGAAGGTGGGAGGACGAAAGACTTCCAAAAATGGAAAATAATAAATTTTTCTGACCGAAAACAAAGAAGTGGATTGTGGATTTAGAATTATCAAGGAACCTCAAACCATGACAAGCCCAACCCGGTTTTGGTCGGCGTCCATATAAGCAGAGTCGCAGCGAGTGAAAGGCAGTTCCAGTTGAGTTGGCAGTTCGAGTTAAGTTCGCAGTTCGCAGCTGAGTTGGATTGAGTTGGGCCCGTCTCGCAGGAACCTGACTGAAAGATTCCACGCAAATCACGACCTCAACTTCTAAACAAGAACAATTTATTTTTGAAGAACGACTTAGACTCACACCACCAAAACAAGTTTTACGAATATCGCCTGAAGATACACCAAGAACCAGTTTCTTAAAGAACAAACAACTTAAGATGTTAAGACTCGCCTAACAAACATAAAGTGTCACGAATCCATATAGCAGTTTGGGAGAAAGACGCAGTCCTGTATTTCGCAACCAGATATAAATTATTGTTATCCTTTTTAACACATTTGAACTTTTCGAGTTATTATTTTATTTTCTTTTACATATACCTGTGCGGTATTGCCCTTGTTCGGACCCGACTTGCATTACGGCCCGGCGACTGATTGATTTCGTCTACTTAAGATCAAATCACAACGTGGGTAGGTTAGACTAGAAATCAAAGCAGTTACTTCGGTAACCAGACGTTGGAGGCGAGCTGGGAACGACAAGGCTGATACCGAATCTAACCAGATTCCCATCCGAATCAGCAAAAGGTTAGAACGTCACACATGTATTCAATTGCGAAAGAAGAATAACATATATCTTTATTACTTCAAAGCTCCCATGAAAATTGGATTTCCGCATTAAATGACCCATAACGAGTTGATATGCTGTTAAACAAACAGAACTATTTCTAATATTAAAAGGAAAAGGAAAAAACGCATTCAAGTTACTTGGCACGTTGCTATTTCGTTAGGTTCAATTCATTAATTATCAGCACCGTAGAATCAATATCGATTTCTTCTTGAGACTGATCTGCCAGAAGACTGACTTAATTTTACGGGCCGCCAACGTCTTCAGGTTTAATTGAGGGCATCTAAGGGGAAAACTGATGCTTGTGATTTAACAGCGGTTAGTGCTTTTTTTTTCATATTATCATTATGGACGTAAGGCAAAACACTGTATTTCTCTCAGCCACAAAGTTCCGTTTAATGATTAATACTGATAGAGGAGAGAAGCAAAAAGGAAAAGAAAGATCTCTTCTCTATTAATTACACTAAAAAATAAAGCGTTTTTTTGTCTTTTTTTTTTTTTATCATTTCACTCCAAGGGAGGTAATAAAGACCCCAAAACAGATTACTGACTGAGAAATGACATGAGAAAAAGTAAAACATTATTAAGGAGAGAGAGAACAATAAAAGAATAGGAATTAAGAAGACAGAAGATAAAGATTGACATTGCATTTAAACTTTTCAAGATCAAAGTTGACAAGAAAGCAAGGAGCCGGAAACATTATTAAGGAGAGAGAACAATAAAAGAACAAGAATTAAGAAGGCAAAAGATAACGATTGACATTGCATTTAAACTTTTCAAGATCAAAGTTGAGTGGAAAGCAAGAAGCCGGAAACATTATTAAGGAGAGAGAACAATAAAAGAACAAGAATTAAGAAGACAGAAGATAACGATTGACATTGCATTTAAACTTTTCAAGATCAAAGTTGAGTGGAAAGCAAGAAGCCGGAAACATTATTAAGGAGAGAGAACAATAAAAGAACAAGAATTAAGAAGACAGATGATAACGATTGACATTGCATTTAAACTTTTCAAGATCAAAGTTGAGTGGAAAGCAAGAAGACGGAAACATTATTAAGGAGAGAGAACAATAAAAGAACAAGAATTAAGAAGACAGAAGATAACGATTGACATTGCATTTAAACTTTTCAAGATCAAAGTTGAGTGGAAAGCAAGAAGCCGGAAACATTATTAAGGAGAGAGAACAATAAAAGAACAAGAATTAAGAAGACAGATGATAACGATTGACATTGCATTTAAACTTTTCAAGATCAAAGTTGAGTGGAAAGCAAGAAGACGGAAACATTATTAAGGAGAGAGAACAATAAAAGAACAAGAATTAAGAAGACAGAAGATAACGATTGACATTGCATTTAAACTTTTCAAGATCAAAGTTGAGTGGAAAGCAAAAAGCCGGAAACATTATTAAGGAGAGAGAACAATAAAAGAACAAGAATTAAGAAGACAGAAGATAACGATTGACATTGCATTTAAACTTTTCAAGATCAAAGTTGAGTGGAAAGCAAGAAGCCGGAAACATTATTAAGGAGAGAGAACAATAAAAGAACAAGAATTAAGAAGACAGATGATAACGATTGACATTGCATTTAAACTTTTCAAGATCAAAGTTGAGTGGAAAGCAAGAAGCCGGAAACATTATTAAGGAGAGAACAATAAAAGAACAAGAATTAAGAAGACAGATGATAACGATTGACATTGCATTTAAACTTTTCAAGATCAAAGTTGAGTGGAAAGCAAAAAAGCCGGAAACATTATTAAGGAGAGAGAACAATAAAAAAAGAACAAGAATTAAGAAGACAGAAGATAACGATTGACATTGCATTTAAACTTTTCAAGATCAAAGTTGGTGGAAAGCAAGAAGACGGAAACATTATTAAGGAGAGAGAACAATAAAAAGAACAAGAATTAAGAAGACAGATGATAACGATTGACATTGCATTTAAACTTTTCAAGATCAAAGTTGAGTGGAAAGCAAGAAGCCGGAAACATTATTAAGGAGAGAACAATAAAAGAACAAGAATTAAGAAGACAGATGATAACGATTGACATTGCATTTAAACTTTTCAAGATCAAAGTTGAGTGGAAAGCAAGAAGCCGGAAACATTATTAAGGAGAGAGAACAATAAAAGAACAAGAATTAAGAAGACAGAAGATAACGATTGACATTGCATTTAAACTTTTCAAGATCAAAGTTGAGTGGAAAGCAAGAAGCCGGAAACATTATTAAGGAGAGAGAACAATAAAAGAACAAGAATTAAGAAGACAGAAGATAACGATTGACATTGCATTTAAACTTTTCAAGATCAAAGTTGAGTGGAAAGCAAGAAGCCGGAAACATTATTAAGGAGAGAGAACAATAAAAGAACAAGAATTAAGAAGACAGAAGATAACGATTGACATTGCATTTAAACTTTTCAAGATCAAAGTTGAGTGGAAAGCAAGAAGCCGGAAACATTATTAAGAGAGAGAACAATAAAAGAACAAGAATTAAGAAGACAGATGATAACGATTGACATTGCATTTAAACTTTTCAAGATCAAAGTTGAGTGGAAAGCAAGAAGACGGAAACATTATTAAGGAGAGAGAACAATAAAAGAACAAGAATTAAGAAGACAGAAGATAACGATTGACATTGCATTTAAACTTTTTTCAAGATCAAAGTTGGTGGAAAGCAAAAAAGCCGGAAACATTATTAAGGGAGAGAACAATAAAAGAACAAGAATTAAGAAGACAGAAGATAACGATTGACATTGCATTTAAACTTTTCAAGATCAAAGTTGAGTGGAAAGCAAGAAGCCGGAAACATTATTAAGGAGAGAGAACAATAAAAGAACAAGAATTAAGAAGACAGATGATAACGATTGACATTGCATTTAAACTTTTCAAGATCAAAGTTGAGTGGAAAGCAAGAAGACGGAAACATTATTAAGGAGAGAGAACAATAAAAGAACAAGAATTAAGAAGACAGAAGATAACGATTGACATTGCATTTAAACTTTTCAAGATCAAAGTTGAGTGGAAAGCAAGAAGCCGGAAACATTATTAAGGAGAGAGAACAATAAAAGAACAAGAATTAAGAAGACAGAAGATAACGATTGACATTGCATTTAAACTTTTCAAGATCAAAGTTGAGTGGAAAGCAAGAAGCCGGAAACATTATTAAGGAGAGAGAACAATAAAAGAACATGAATTAAGAAGACAGATGATAACGATTGACATTGCATTTAAACTTTTCAAGATCAAAGTTGAGTGGAAAGCAAGAAGACGGAAACATTATTAAGGAGAGAGAACAATAAAAGAACAAGAATTAAGAAGGCAAAAGATAACGATTGGCATTGCATTTAAACTTTTCAAGATCAAAGTTGAATGGAAAGCAAAAAGCCAGAAACATTATTAATGAGAGAGAACAATAAAAGAACAAGAATTAAGAATACAGAAGATAACAATTGACATTGCATTTAAACTTTTCAAGATCAAAGTTGACAAGAAAGCAAGAAGCCGAAAAGATTATTAAGGAGAGAGAACAATAAAAGAACAAGAATTAAGAAGACAGAAGATAACGATTGACATTGCATTTAAACTTTTCAAGATCAAAGTTGAGTGGAAAGCAAGAAGCCAGGAACATTATTAAAGAGAGAGAACAATAAAAGAACAAGAATTAAGAAGGCAAAAGATAACGATTGACATTGCATTTCAATTTTTGAAGACAAAAGTTGACTTGAATAGTGAAGCTATGACTTTACGCTCTATAGATCTCCTGGTCAACCTGTTGTCTGTCTGGGAAGGGTTTGGCTAATTTTCTTATCGTTGCTTCCTTATTCCTTCGTAATTTTCTCGACTAAAATTCACCCAATACAAGGCTCGAGTGCCACTCAAGTCAGAGCGTTAATGTTAAAATGGTTATGACAAATAATGCGCGTGACATGAAAGAAAAGGTAGACGGACGGAAGTGAAGATTATCAAGATAGATAAAGATTGATCTTTTGACATTTTTTTCTTTAATCATTGCACCCCAAGGAAGGCGATAAAGACACTAAGACGTAAGGTGTTATCGAGTGTGAAAGAATCTGAGAAAAAACACTATTAAGGAGGGAGAACAATAAAAGAACAATAATTAAGAAGACTGAAGATCACGATTGACATTGCACTTCAATTTTTGAAGATCAAAGTTGACTGGAAAGCAAGAACCCGGAAGGAAGTTCCTCAAGCGGGAAGTGTAAGCAAAGAAACTTTTAGCAGAGGACTTACTGTTACATCTAGCCATTTCAACAGCAAAATGATGAGACCTTCCCGCCAATCTAGTACTGCGCTTAAATTCATAAAGTCTATGTACCGAAAAGGAAAGCTCAACAGAACAATTACCATGAAAATATTTATAAAAATGTCACAGGGAAGCTATGTTCCGGCGGTGAAAAAGTGACTGAAATCGAGACGCCAGGTCTGGAATTACTTGTAGATAACCCACCTGATGAAGGCCGACGTCACAATGTCTGAAACGTTGTGATAACAACAACAAAGATGAGGATAATAGTTTGAATATAACTAGTGTAAAGAATGATAACTCCTCATCCTAGAAATTCAGATAGAAATGACTAGTGTGATGATTTAGCTAAAAGTGGGTTCTTTCGAGGGAATATTCTCAGAACATGATTTCGAAGACACCGATGATTGGTACTACTATCTTGGATTAATATTGTAGCCTAAAACCCCATAATTCCATTTAAAGCTGATTATTCAAGGTGAATATAGAATTATCATGAATCCTTGGACAACAATTTATTGCATGGAGAAAGATAGAACATAAATTTACATCGTTCAATTTGATCTTCTCGACTGTAAGAGTGCTTGTAGTTCAATTAACAGGGCAGCTGACACATTTAACTAAACTAAATGGATGCGAGTTCGAGTCCCGTCAGCAATATGTGCTTTATTTTCGAACAATCCGCGTCGTTTACTAATGAGCGTCGATTAAGAGCCTGAGTAGATGCGATGAGAAGTAACTGAAATTAAGATGAAAGAAAAAATACGAATAAATAAGGGGTGACAATGATTCAACTAATAAAACAATATAAATACAATAATGTTAACAGCACTCATATTTGGCTATTTTTCAGAACTGCAGAAAATGGAAGCATTAAATTTGATGGCCTTGTGCCAAACTAAAAATCAATTTCAGACATAGTAAGAGTCCGGTGGGAAACGTATGAAAAAACACTAAGGAGATATTTGGCTTTTCACCAAAATATTAAACAACGGAATCAAGGAAAAAATAAAGATTAAAAA